CACATAGAAATCCGTATTGGACAATCAATAATGTGGGCCCCATCATATGAGATTGAATACAATATTGATATTTAGTCTTTGGACATAAAAATCAATGTGTAAGTAGTACACTTGGTATAGTAATCAAATATTGACAATAAATCATGTCAAATAATAATTTTTTTTTGGATCGACTTATTGTTCACAAAAAATGGTTTACACTTATCACACATCTATTAAAATAGGTATCTATGCAGCGCCATTTAGGGTTGCAGCATTGTGAAACTAGTACCGTAGGATTGGTTGTGCTGCGAGGAACAGCTTGCCCAAATGCGGCGCTACAGCGCTCCACTGTCCCTCATCATCTTTTTTCAAAAAAATTCTTAAAAAAGTCTCAATGTTTGAAATTTAGGTCTTGAAATTCACATCCCAAAATTTAGAATCCAAAGTTTAAATTTCAACCTAAAATTATATCTTAAATATCAATGATTTAACATGCAGTTGGCTCTGATACCACTTATTAAAATTTTATAAAACTTTAAATTTCAAAAACTCGAAAACCTAAATAAGTACTTTATTGCCAAAATTCTCCAGTCAATCACCAAGAGAATTACAAAATATAGAACATATGTTGATTCATTGGAAATGATTCTTTAATTGATTCTAGCTTGAATAGGTCGTTCTTGATTATGGCTTCTTGATCTTGATTGTTTGTTCTTGATTGTGAGTTTTGGATATTCCCTTTCAATATGTTTTCTCTTAATAGTTTTGTGTTGATGAGATGATTCAAAAAATGAGAATCACATATGAATTGAAAATCATAGCCCTATTTATAGTTTCCAAATGTATTTCGACCCATCATAAAATACATCCTTAAAGGAATTAGTCTCTACACATATTTAGTCTCATACTTTAATTAGATGCCCAAGCCCATAGCTTTAATTATTTATTAAATCATTTTAATTTTAGGCTTAACTTTAAGATAATCTTTATATACAATCAATTACATATGTAGATCCACATGACAAACTAAAACTCAACAAGACATCCTAGAAAAATGTAGTTGCCAAAAATAATATCATTTAAAAGAATATTTAAAAGAATAAAAGAGTTCAAGTTAGGGTTTATTTTCTGTGAATCAAAGTGTTCAAGCACCGTAAGTAGTCCCTTTGTTAGTTCCCGTTCCAGTTGCGTATTTCATGTCATTGTGACTGAGAAAATACCAATAATTTTGTGCATCTTTCCAGAATTAGATAGAGTAAATTGAACAAACCATTTTTCTTCAGCGGACAATATTGTATAAACATCAAACTTCAAACCTAAACGTAGGAATGTCAATTACACAAAAAATAAGGTAAAAATAAAATTTTAACAAGAATAGGATCCGGATTTGTGCGATTTGATCGACCACATCAGTGGAACATTACAAGAAACGAAAAGATTACGCCAAAAAATCAGATAGAATACCAAATGAGAAAAATCACTCGTGTGTGCAAAACAAACTAAGACCCTGTCTGCCATAGCTTTTCAGCAAATTTAAATTGATTTTTGAACCTTTGCCAGCTTTTTTAGTTGACTTTGCCTCTCACATGTGAGCTCCACTTGGCATCTTAACGGTCAAAACATGACTACTAATCCCTTGGAAAATCTGCAACAGACAAGCACTAAATGTAACTATAGCTTGAATGCTTTAATTCATAGAAAGTTCAAAAGGCACTAACTTCTTATATGGAACTAGGGCTGTAAATAGATCGAATATGCTCATTTTTATCAACTCTGTAGTACTAAATTTTGCTTCGATTCTATTTTGTGTAACTAGTTGCACGCCCGTACAATGTACGGGTTTTGGTATTTTTAAGGTAATATTAGCATATCAAATATTAATGATATTGTGAAACGTCAACAAGTTTTTATCTAACATAATAGCCAACGAAAGAACCCCTCATAGCTACAAGAATACAAGAAAATATGAAATAAATCAAAGCAAAAATGTACTAAAATGTAAGCTGACAAAAAGAAAAACTATCACTGCCTTTGTGATAGGCTCCTATCAATCTCCAAAAAAGAATTGAGAAGCGATAAATAGTAACAAATTCGATTAGATTTGGTTACAAAATATTTATAAATAGAGAAGA